TCTCGTTATGTCACGAGCACTGACTTTCCCGTAGCAACCCAAGGCATCGCGCATACAGCAAAACTAATAAGAGTACCCCACTACACTAAAGTTTGTTTCTAAATGCGCCAACTGAGCTACTTCTTATCAGCATCCATCACAGAGGGTCCTCTTGTGAAAAGTGTTTGGCTATACGCGCCATGCAGATAAATATGTCTCCTTTGGCCGATGTCATGCAAGAATTGACTGATAATTTAGTCTAATTTTTCTTTGATGAGCCGATCACTAAATCTCAAAGATCCCTCTGTATGTCCCAAATGCCTCAATATCTTATTAGTGACGCGCATGAATAGATTGCTGAAATGCTGGATCTTCGCCAATCATAGATCGACGGAAAGTCAAAGAAGCTAAGTGCCACAAACTTCTCTACTGGAGGAGTATTGTCGAGGGTCTACCTGTAAAAGTAAGTGCTTTTGTGCAGCACTAAAATGCAACATCTTCCGTGCAGAACATGGAGTTGGTCAAAACTAATAGTTGTAGTGTTGTAGGGTACCTCAAACGGAGCTCAAAAGGCAGAAACGGCTGTGAGCCGCGGTTTCTGGTAGTTTCATAAAGAGCAATTGAATATTGCGGCCTCCAGCGCCGTTCTTGAGTGGGACAGTGAGGAAAGGCTATGAGTTCTTTCTCTTGGCATTAGGGTCAGTGGGGTGTGAAAGTACTAGCTATCGCAACCTCTCGTACCAGAGCTGTTGGAATTCAAGCGACAAGTAGAAGGGTAGGCTTTAAGATTCAGAGGACTGAATCATCTCTGTCACGATGTGACGCTACTGCTGAGTCAGCACTTTTGGGAACGGCCCCACGGTGAGGAGCGATTTAGCCCCACGATTTAATAGCGAACAACATATTTACTCGTGATTGGAGCGACAAACAAAGTCTTACAAGTTTAAGCACCCCTCACTCCTACGGCAGAAAGCAGTTACAGCGCTATGAAAATAATTCTGGGAACTTCTGCAAGGAATTGCACTCTCCAAATGGTATGGTTGGTAGCTGGCTTGCTGAGAGGAAGAGATCCTTCCCAATCGATGACCACTTTCTGTGTCAGATAGCCTTGTGGCAAGTGACTAAGGTTGTATGGTTACATGCAGCTATAGTTCCTGCGCAAACGCCATACCTGCGAGGGATGTGTTGCGGAGTAGTAATATCAGCTGCCTGTAGTTCAGTTTCCACCAACTAGCTATTATTATTGATTTCTGACTCGAGACGGCTACATTTCTATGAGTGTAATGAGTAAAGGGATGATCTGTGTAATGGGCTACTCTTAGCCATTACATGAAAGTACATTTATGTGTCTTTTGTATGCATTGTGAGAGTTTTAAGTAGATTATAGTTTGGTAATTTCATATGCATACGTGTTTTCTTTAAGAAGTCACAAACCATCTATGTGATACAGAATGCTGACTCCTAATTGGAGGGTCTGTTCTGATGACGACACCGACGTGTCTCTGTCTTTAGAAGTGGGTGGCGTAAGCCAGTCACTTCTACTGGATACTTTCTACGAAAGTTGGAGTTCAAACTTTTATAAACTCAAGCATCGTACACCCATTTCTTTTTTCATTCAGAGCTGAGATTCAACCTCAGCATATCATTAGTTTATAAATCAGAAACCTAATGTTTCATTAGAAAATCCCCATAATCCCTTGGGATAGCTAGGAACCATAAGACAGTTTAATTCATATGAAAATGTACCTTTAAGGTATGAAGCCGTTTTTCATCCCTCTCTCCTTCTCCCCCACGTCGGGAATCGCTTCCTCGTGGCACAAGCGTTTGTGGTGTGTTCGAGGGACTGTTTGTGAACAGAGCCCTCTTACACCCTTGGAGTGACTGGTGGTGCCAAAGAGACTATCTAATGCACAGGTGACGTTCGATCCCCTGTCACAAACCAATTTTGACAAGATATTTGTCCGTAGCCGTACAAAGCGCTAAGAACTACATTGATTTTTCTCGAACTGCGCTGGAGTATATGTGTTTGAATATATAATTTGTAGAACTACACAAGCTTGTATCCGGTGCTTGTTAAAGGATTCTAACTAGTTGCTTCTTTAAGAGCTGAGAACCCCGCGAAGTAAAGACCAAAACATTTTGGCCCTCGCCCTACCGAAAACAAAATTGTAGAATTACAGTACAAGTTATACCGGTATAGCGCAACCCCTCACAATCCCTTCAATACAATGTTTAGTCGAGTTGGTGACATTGAAGAAAGCAGTCTTTGGGGCCGTTCAAAAAAATAAAATCTCGTGCGTACCCCGATTCGAGATCTTTTCAAGTTAGCTTGGTCAGTACATGTTCTCTATGATTCGTTCAACCTTTGCAATGAGCTGCACTTCGCTTGAGGTAGATGTCACTGGGCATGAGCGCATAGTCATGTTTGAATCATGCCAGCCTAAAAATGCTAACCAGAGTTACTTGTTCATGGCCCTTGTCAAGTTAAGAGAGCGCATGCTTTGCCCAAAGCCGTAGGTGAATGAGAGGATCATGCATCGTTGTACTCAGTGACGTCGTCGTTACAACTCACAGAGTATGGCCTAACGGTTACCCTTTTTGCCCAACGCATCTTTAAGGTAGATTATAGGCTCGGTCGGATAACAATGCTGACGGATACGGTGTCGTGTCGGTCCGACTATAATGTATACATGTCACAATGGTGACGTCGCCCATCTGATAAGGCTAGCATACAGGGTGCGGGTCAGACGCAACATGTAATGCGCTGCAAAAAAAACGTTCAGAAGATAGGAAGATTCAAGAGATCTGATTACCTAAGCGAGCAGTTACATGTCTGCACCAAGTTTACTAATCTGAGATGACAGTATTACAGCATTGACCCACACGACACTCACAGTGCAGTGCTACTTTTCAACGGAAATTTTAAGTAGAAAATACATACCAGACACGTAGACTTTTTTGGCGGTCGACTAGAAAGAGAAAAGATATTAGCTTAGGTATATTTTGGTGGTGAAAAAATGTGTAAGTGGGTATGTTCTTGTGTGGACACGGGTGATACATGCCGACTGGTTACTATCCCGTCGTAAACGGCGGCATTTTTGGCCAGCCTATCAATCCATGAATAAATTAAACTTATTTTTTATAGCCACGTCCGTTTGATCAGGAATTGAAGTGGTTCTGGGCCATCAAGGCAAATGAAACCACCTCTTTGCCATCAGCGGTAATGTGAATGATGAAGATGCAGTCAGATTGTTCTCGACAAAGCTTTTCACCAACATGGCTTAACGGTGTCCATTGCATCGGATCGTTGTCCACCAAACATCAACATCTCGGTTAAACCATTTGTGGTGCCCGACATTAGATAGATATGTTAAATGCTGACCATCCGCAACGAAGATGGTTAAGCGGGACGCCTAAAATACGTGATAAAAATATCCTTCGAATTTGTACGGAGAGATCGTGGCGCTTAAGCGAGCCCTCTCACCATTTGAGAATACAAAGAATAACGCCGTACATGCTTTTATAGATTCTAATTTATTCTAGATAAATAGTTTGGTAAATTCCGGGTGCGTTTGATACCGCCACGAAGTGGCTCCCGTCTTAGTGTGGGTGGTGCTGTCAACCAAGATTAATCTGAGGCCCTCGCTACACTCCACCATTCTAATTTTGCCAGGAGCACTGTATAGCCAAGACAGGTTTGATTTGATTTCCTGCCATGGGACTTGACCCTGCGCTTATACATACGGCAAAATGAGCATTGCATCGCCGCTCAGCGAACACTTTTAATTTCAAAGGCCATCATCATACAAGGATACCACCTGCGCTTTCCGCAGCAGCAGTCAAAAAGAGCCCATGACCTTAATGAGGGTGAAAAATGCTTGCAAAAGCCATGCTCTCTATATACGCCAGATGTTGTCCCACCCGTCTCACAATCCTTAAAGTCGGATTGAATTAGCGGACGTTTGACAAGTGCGCCGTTTAACGCGTGGCTTTGTGAATCATAAAACACGGTACATAAGTCAAACTGGAAACTCGTCAGCCTCAAGCTCGTTCCCTCGGTTTCAGCTGCTACAGCTCTCGATCAAGTTTCTGTCTTTTAACAGGCTAGGTACATACTAGTAAGCAAATTTAATTTTTCAAGAAGCCAAAACGGTATACACTTACAATAATTACGATCTGTTGAAGATACACCCGTGTGAGAAACCACAGAGATTATAGACAGCGCATGCACCAAGTCGTAACTGGCAACGGCGCTAGGACAATATTGACAAAGTGTGACTATGAAATCTCACGATCTATTCCTTCGACTTGACCATTAATACCTGCTGCATTGGTGCTGGCTCACTAGCCGCTCCACATGGAAGTTGGTTGTCCCATGCCCATCACGTAGGGCCGGTGGTGGACTGCTTATTCGCGGCTAGCTCTTTCGAGCTTTCCCAATTGTAACATTAAGCAGGCTATCTCTGAAGTCTTGTCATCTGGGGTAAGCTATTCTTTGAATTTCCTCTCTGCGCTACGTCATCGCACATAGTACTTTAAGCGGTTCAGAACTGAGATTCCGCCCTAATGTAGGAGGTAGATATAAGATGAACATTGTTCTGTCTTTTACAATGTGTTCGAAACGGGATTTGGTACGCTGTATCAAATTCACATGAAACACAGGATGCGTTCGGAAGCTCTTCGAATTGAAGATTACGAAAGCTCCATATTTAGGTAGGTTGTCAGCGAAAAATTTGTTACACCATGTATTTCAAAGTGTGTTCCATCGGTCTCTGGCACTTGAATGTTGCCTTTGCAATCCATGTCATGTGCCGTAGCTCTGTGAATGCGGCGCATGACGCTCAGTATAGCCGGGATATAACATTGTCTAATTGTCCCTGACATGACTGAATTATCACGCGGCAATGTCAAGATGAAGAGCATTTGCAAATATCTACAGAAAATGTGGACAAATCCTGTAAAGACAAGTACATTTATATTTTGTGCAAACTCACACATTGGGAGCATTTCAGTGTTGCACCATGATCTGTCCCCGAAAGTGTTCTGACAAACATGCCCTACCACAAAGTTTGTGCGGTTATTTTGGCCATCTGACTGTAATAAGACAGCGTTTTTACATATTCAAATTCGATTGTTGACATCCTGCACGAGCTTCACCAAAACTTCGATGTACATCACGGATGCCAAGTTGGCGACAAACTTTGTCTCTGTGTTGATTAGCCGATTACGGTGTCGCTGACAGCAACGAGATGTGCAATGTTTACTCTGACGACATGTAAAAACCGCCATTCCACTTTAACCAAAAACGTCTTCAAAGGAGCGTAAAAACAACTATATACTAATGAAAGAGCCAACAGCTTTTAGAAATTTTCAATTTGCCATCGGGGCCGACGAGTGTTTAACTTTTTGAACACGTTCCGCACGTGTGCATGTCACTGGTATATGATTGTTTGCCAGAACTTAGCGCTCACGGAGAAGTTAATGTTTTCTCCAATGAAGACCATCAAGAGTGTAACGAGATTACACATACCTTTGTATGAAAAGGGGTCGCACAATCCTGTGCGACCGTACATTGGTGTGTATAAAACACGTTAGTGTAATCATACACCATTGTGGCTATACCGTAACAAGAAGTCACCACGTGGCAGGATTGCCAGTAGTAATGCATATTACTATATTAATTAGGAAAACCTAATGTCTTAGATATTAGCGGCTCTGCCGCACCAAAACAATTGAATACAGTTCCGGTTTTGAACAGAAATGATTTAAACCTTGGTAAGGTTTATAGTGTTAGAGGTAGCGAATTGCCATCCGCTACGGTCGTACTGGTTCTTCTAAAGAACGTATTACTAGCTTAGGTTCCTCTAAGCAATTAGCTACGACGGCTCCGCTGCACTTGGTAGCACTCGTAGTCAATTCACGCCTGAGTCGTTAAGACGGATCCTCTATAAGGTGGAAAATACTCCTATTTGCCTCAGGACATACAGGACGGGCTAAATAAGCTGATGTCTCTATTGAGCCTGAGGGTGTGAAGCACCTTGTTGCGCAAGACCCGAGGCGACAAGCGCGCGCCTAGAGACGATTTCAAATTATGAAAATGCTCTATTAGAGTACTTACAGCAGAAAGCTGTCTGCGTCGACTGCGTCTATGACGCCACCGTCGACAACAGATATTTCCTTCCGACCCAAGCCGCTCTTGGTGAGGGAGAAGAGAATCTCCTTCTCTGGATGAGAGATACCGGGATAGCTATGGCACCCGCGATGCTCTAAACCTTGCAATAGCGCGTGGCGATAGCCATCTTCAAGCTCGGGGGCCGAGCCCGAGAATGGGCACTAACGTGTGGTGCTTCGGTTGAAGCTGCGTGTGCCTCTTAGAATGGTTGGCTTTTGAGAGTGTTCTCGCCGCCAAATTAGGCACATCGCGTGAGATAGCGTTTCCATGCTGTCCGACAGGGCGAGAAGGAGTTGGTGGACTTCTCCAAGATGTCTTTCATTATCGGGACAACTGCAGCTTGAGGAGGTCGCAGTGACCGTCTTCATGAAGAATCTCCGCACTGGACCAGAATGGAAGTCTTCTGTGTGCATCTGTCTTCTTTTGAAGAAACGGTGAGCGTCTATTGAATGCCGAGTTCAACTCAAGTCGTCAAGACTTGGTTTGAATGTACACACTCAGAGCTCGTCGAGCGGGCCTGAGCCAATAGATCTCAGCTACGCTGAGAAGGAGGAGGGAGAGCTCCGAGCTGCTAAGTAGCGTGTAACCACCCGACGGTGTTTAGCTTGTGGAGACACCCGTCACCTTAGGATGGGTTATCCTTTGCGCAAGGCGCGTAAAAGTTTGTCAAACCGACGTCCCTCTTCTTACCAATCTGGTTTGTCGCAGGGAGAAAAAAAACAGTGTACGCGGGGCGCCCTACTGGGGAGACTGAGTTCTGTTGGGCCTCGAATAGGTAGAGGGCAGCAAGGCACAGCCCCGAAGAGCTCCCTGTTCTTGAACACGGAACGTGTGTGCAAGCCGGGCTAGCTGGTCGTAAAAAGCGACGGTAAAGGACTGAAAAGCCATGGAAAGTCCTTATTGATTCTGGTAGTCGGGCAATTATGCTCGACGATCCAGGAGCGAAGGAAATGAGCTGTATGCCAAAGCGCTGGAAACGCGGTTGAGTGACACCGCCACTGTTCACTTAGCGACGGGGTCTTGTGTAGCGTGGAACGTTGCCTAGTCTTAGACTTGGATGGAAGGTATGACCTTAATCTTGGTATTGCATGGTTGGAGCACCATGATCCATGGATTGACTTGAGGTCAAAGACCTTGGATGCTACGCTCAAGTCTCCTGGCGGACTTTGCTGAGTCATGAACCCACCTATGCTAAGAAGCAGAAGCGCTAATGGCTTAGGCACTGGACCGGGACCGAAACGGTTAATGTGCTGGATATCGGAGAACCCAAGTTGTCAAACACCAAAGATATTTTGGACAAGATCCCCGAGCGTGGCAAGCGGGCTGAACGTGGAGTGGCACGTAACCCACTGAGCGCTGCTCAAGTATCAAAGCAGCTGCTGTATGCCAAGAGTGGCGTGGTCGACCAAAAGCCGAGACATCAAGGGTGAGACCCCAATGATGCACGTGGAGTGGCACGTAATCCACTAAGCACTGACACGTTGCGAAGTAGTTGCTGCATACCAAGAGTGTGCGTGGTCCCACTGGGCGACGTCACCCTAGAGGTTATTCCAGCGGTGGATGCTTTTCTTGAGCTCGACTAGATGTCCTTCTAAGAGTTTGGCGTGCCTTGGAGGCAGGCAATTTAGCCGTAACGATCAATGTAAGACCAAACGAGGAGAGTAACTCGTCGTCGCTTCTGGATGAAGCTGTCCTGGAGGACACTAAGAGGGCGCTTAACGCACGAAGTAGATCGTTGATCCTAGAGAATCGGTCAAATCTATATTATATTTTGGTAATGAATTTCCCAAACGTTGTCTCCAAAGACCCGCCGTCGGCCTACCTCCGGACCGAGGTGACCGTCATGAGATCGACCTGGTTGTGGAAACCACACACCGCGTTACACGCCAATGGCCTCTGCCCATGGAGCAGTGTGGCGTCGCTGACGCCTTTTTCCGTTTAAAGGACGAGGAAGGAATGATGCGTGAGAGTGATCCTCCAAATTCGGCACCCACGTTTTGTATCTAGAAGCCGAACGGGAAGTAGCATATCGTTCACGCTTATAATACGCTAAACGCTGCCACCATTCCGGCACAAACGCCATTTCATGAAGAAAATGTTCTTCAAAAATAAAAGGGTTGGCTGTACAAAGTGCAGCCCACTTGACTTGGTCAATAGTTATTACCAGTCGCTCATGAAAGCGAGTAATTGTCCGCTGCCAGCGGTGAGTACTCCGAGCGGCATGCTCTGGGTGTGGTTTGCGATGCTCCGGGCTGTCAAATGCATCAGCAACATTTAATCGTCTTATGACGCAATTGTTGAGGCCACATCAGGAGTTTGACGACATCTTCGTCCACAGTCGTGCGGGGCACAGGAGGACGGATGAGGAAAACCACATCGTCTATTTGAGAGCGGTGCTCGAGGGTATGCACGAATAAGCCGTTTGATAATGCCGATGAGTGCACCTTTTGCGCGGGAGAAATTCCCTTTTTAGGGTGCTTCATCGGGAAGCGTGGCCTTCGAGCGGATCCGGCTAAGGTCAAGACCATTATGGACTGGCCAGTTCCAAAGAACCAAAAGGACTTGCGCAAGTAGTTTGGTCTCGAAAGCTACTTGCACAAGTATAGCAAAACCTATGCTGATATGGCACGGCTATTGTCGAATCTCCTTAGGAAAGATACAGATTGGTGTTGGTACACCACGCATCGGGAGGCTTTTCACACGGTCAGAGCCAGATTCCTTCATGCACCAATACTGGTGTTGCCAGACCCCGATCGCCTCCATAGCGTCGTCTGACGCTTCGGACTTTGCCATCGGCTGTGCACTGCTGCAAGCAAACGCCAAATGGCGCGGTCGGATGAGCGCGCTCGCATCTTGCCAGCTTTAGGCTGCGAACGAAAAGAGGGACTATCTAGTCCACTAGAAAGAATTACTTGCAATGAAGAATGCCCTTGTCAGCTTCAATTTGCATCTGCTTGGCCCAAAGCTGTTCGTGATGTACACAGATCATGCGTCACTACGCACTGCGACTCAGTCGTCCCACCTCTCGCAGAGGATGGCCAGATGGCTCTCATTCTTTCCAGAATATAACCTCGAGGTGATGTATAAGCCAGGAAAGCAGAATGCTTTGGCTGACGCGTTGTCACGCAGACCAGACTATGAGCTTGCACATGTCACGACGGTGACGTCACCAGTGACGGATTTGATCCAGCCGCATACGCGGGTGATATTATGTGTAGCGCTGCTACAGGCTCTCTGGAGCAAAGATTTAAAAAACCTGGTCACGAAGGTCTCGGTGCGTTTGCGCGAGCGGTTACACCAATATCCGTTGAATAACGGGCTTATGTGTTATTACACCGATATAACGGATACGTTACGAATTGTGAGGGTTTAAAAATACTGTATCCTCTATGAGGCCCACGACACCCCACTTAGTGGTCATCTTGGACGTCAGATGGCATACAGCTTGGTGAGTTACAATTACTCGTGGCCCAAGCTGTACAAGCAGACAAGCACATAAGCGTGCACGTGTGAGACGTGTTTAGTGGGTGAAACCCTCTCCAAATGCGGCGGTGCCGCTGTCCAGTTTACCGGTACACTCCGGGTATTGGCAGTCCATCTGTATAGACTTTGTGCTGAGCCTGCCGAAGGACTCGGCGGGCAACACGGGTGTGGTCGTCTTTGTGGACCGTTCGAGCAAGATAATAAATCTTGCGGTAGTGCCGGACACCATCGACGGTGAGGGTACAGCGACGCTGTTTGTCGATCGTGGTTTTTGACAACATGGACTCCCGAAGTCTATCGTCTCAGATAGAGACCCGCCCTTCTCTGATAAGTTTTGGTCTACACTCTTCAGTGTGCTGGGAACCAAGTTGACTATGTCAACAGCAGACCAACCGTAGACCAATGGTCAAACTGAGCGCGTGAATCGCGTCGATGAAGACGTTCTTTGCAGCGTCTGCGCTGAGACACCGACTAGCTGGAGGTCTATGTTGCCACTCATAAAGTTTGCTCTGAACAATGCTACCAGCTACACGCCGTTCTACGTGAACGGGCTGATTCACCCTCGCGTTCCGCTGACACCGCCA